GGTAGTTCAAACTAGGCTTCCTAGTTCGAACTACCGTTACTCCTCGTGAAATGAGGCTGCTGGCTTGCTCAGAAGGGGCAGACTGTGACCCGAGCTGGAGCTAGCAACCACTGGCCAGAGAGGGAGTCGCCAAGGGACCTGAGTGTGCTGCTGCCGGGCCTCAGCCGGGCCCAGCCCCAACGCCGGAGCCACCGACCGACCCCCTGTGACCCGAGCACCGGACCAGACTTGGCCAACTCTGAGGCGGCCAGGGGAAGTACCAGTACAGCCAGTTGACCGACACCAACAGGTGGGACCGTGGCAGGCCGAGAGCAGGGGGTAGGAAGTGACCCAGGGCAGGGAGCTGTAGAAGCCCCTGAGGGCTCGGGGCGTTGCGGGGAGGAGCCCGCCGAGCCAGTGGTGGGAACCACCCGCCACTACTAGGGCCCTGGGTCGGGGTCCGGTGGAGAGGGAGGGCCTGGGCCCCCCCACCCCTGCTGCCCGAGACCCTGGCAAGTGGGGAGCAGGGTAACAAAACCTGAATTGAGGACTAGGCTGCTGGGCCTGCGTATTGAGGACTAGGCCTCTGGGCCTGCAAACTGAGGACTAGGCCGGGAGGCCGTATTTCCCCTAGCACAGGGGCATTGTACCTTGGAACTAGGCCAGTGGGCCATATTTCCCCTAAGAGAGGGGCAGTGCTCTTTGAGGGCTAGACCCAGACGGGCCGAATTAAGCCCCGAATGGGGGTGGCAACCCCCAGACAGGGGCGAGCCCCCCGACACTGGCCCTGTCCCAACTGGAAAGCTTTTTAAACTGGCTGGTCTAATCTTCATAGAAAGTCCAGTTTATGGTCTCTTTGGCATGGGGCTGGCAGACTCTACTTGGCTTTGCGTGGTTCCCCAGAAGCAGTGTCACATCCTTCCTACTCCTCGGCTGAGGAATAGCCACAGGGGGTACAGAATGGGGGAGGGGATGCAGGACTGGTAATTGGCAGTCAGGAGACATTTCGGGGTGCTGGATTCAGGGTGCTCACCTCAGGCGACTCCCCGCAAGCGGCGACTTGCACCTGGTAGAGGTTCAGCGAAGTGAGTCCGCCTGCTGCCCTCACCCCACCCTGAGAGCTGGTTCCATAGCTCCCATTGGCCATGGTTCCTGCGGGCCTAGGCAGTGTGCAGAGCTGCCTAGCTATGTCTGCACGTGGAGCAGCAGGGACAGGCCCCCATTTGTGGGGAGATGCCCAAGGTGAGCGCCCTATAGATCCAGCACCCCAAAAGCCCTCCCTTGTTCCAACCCCATCTCAAGCCCCTACCGCACCAAAAACTCCTCCCTCTTAGTTAACCAGCCCATTCCTCCAAAAGAAGCTTTTACTGTATCTATATTATAAGTGTGCAGAGGCCTAGAAAGAGATCAGGGCTCCGTGGTGCTAGGCACAGTTCAATTACACAGCAAGGGTTTGTTCCCAAGAGCTTTCAGTCTACTCAGACAAGACAAAGGAGGGGAAGAGACAGAGACAGAGCAGTGAAGCGGCTTGCCCAAAGTCACCCAGCATGTTCAGTGGTTTCCTGAGTCCCCTCCAGAGCCCTGTCCACTGGGCCATTCTGCCTCTCTATATACAGGTCACCTTTATGGGGTGTTCTTCCGTCCATTCCCCCTTTCTTCCAACAGTACACACAGTGAGACTCATGTACGATACCTCACACAGGGCTGCCTGAGCTTGGTTTCAACTGAAATCTCATTCTTACTGGCTGCGCGCTTGCGGCTGGATCAGAATGGCCCCACCTTTCAGGCGTCATTTTTCATCTGCTCTGGAAAGCAGCCCCACACCAAAACCAAAACAAGCCTGTAACTGACTGTGGTTTAAAACATTTAGGTCTCTTGTGTGGAGAAGGCCTCAAACTTTAGACCTGACCACTAGAGGAAATGGTTTTGAAACTGGTTGAAACCTGCACAGAGATGTTGAGCTTTCATTGATCTGTGGTGATATTGTGCAGACTAAGTATAACGCTGGGGATTTGGTTTTTATTATATTTTTAGACTGTTTGAACT